GATATCATTACAAATTAAATGTATTAATATTTTATTTATAATAATATGCAAAACAAAAAGAAATTTTAATCACAATATTTTAATTTTAAGAAGTATTGCAGTAAGTAATTATTATTAAATTTCAGATTCAAGTTTATTGCTGTTTTAGCATATATACCTCGTAATTGTGTATATACTTGGCAAATTTTTTCGCGTAAAATATGACTTATCTGATAATTCGCAAGATCACGTAAAGTACACTTAATAGACGTAGAAAAGGAACTTTTTAAAAATGAAACTTAAAAAAGATGATTTTCTCTACGTTTTTCACGTGAGAGTTTGTTTACTTGTGTGAAAAAAGAACATACACATATGTAATTAGGCATCGAACATTAAAAAAAAGATAAGTTAAAAATTTGAAAATCTATAGCGAAGAATATCTTAGCGAATCTCACCATTCCTACATCAAGAATATCTATCTCCTTAGAAACGAAGCTGTGAGGAGTTGTAGAACTTCTGAATCAAATCTGATCGGACTGAATTGAAATTATTTTCTACTTATTCTCATTTATTCAATTTCATTTTCTTCAGTATTATTAGCTTACTAGTAACAATACGTGTGAAAAAAGCACTGCAAATTATTTTGTTTTTTATATATTTTTTTATTATTTTTTCTCTGAGTTAAGGATGTAAATTATTTTTAATAAATCCGTTTTGATTACTTATCCTTAATGTAGTAGTAATTAGGCATAGGTATATATATCTTAGTAAAATAAGTCTACTAGCTACAAGTTACTCTTTCCGCAATTCATTAAGGCTAATTTTAGCTAAGTGTTCGTTGTGGCTATTCTTGTAGTAAATTAAAAAAAACATAAGAATTCATTAGTATATGCTAAATTAGATCCAAATGCCTAGCAGAATTATTAATTTGAAACGTGGAATGTAATAAGTTATGGTTCTGACTAATGAATTTTTATTAGTATTATTAAAAAGTATCTTTAATTGATTCTTAAATTTTATATGTATTTGTTTTTGTAATTTTTATTCAAAATTTCTCAAGAATTCAAAATTTTTAACTTGATTATTAACATTTATTTCAATTTTGAAACTGAATAATACAACTAGACAATTAAACAAATTTGTAAGTTAATTTTATTTCTGTAATTTTTCCCATGTGAAAGGCTTACCTTATTTATCAAAAGTTTGAAGTATTCATCTATTTTTAATAATTGTAGCCTTTTAAAGAGTCTTTTAGTTTTGTAAACTTTGATTATTCATTGTTTTATGTCGTGCAAATTTAGTAATAATTTGCATAAATTATTAATAGTAATGGATGATGATTTTTTTTAAAATTTATTTAGTCTAAAAGTAATTAAGAGAGTATGTTGACCTTTATTTTTATCAAATATCTATATTTTATCTTATCATTTTTATTTGCATTATTTATTGTAATTTATGTAGCCTAAAAGTAATACTCTGATAATAATGGAAATAAAAAATACAAAGTATCTTGACCTTTAGTTTTATCAAATTATCCATATTTTATCTCATCATTTTTTATTTTTTTTACTTGCATTATTTATCATGTCAAATGTCAAATGTCAAATTTAAAAAAAATAAAAGTATATAAAACTTAATTGCATCTTTTATATTTTAATTTAAAAATATTGATATTTTACATTTTTGCTCTATGTATTAACGATTTAAGATTAAAGTTATAATGTAAATAAGCCATATTCATGACGATGCTTAATGCATCATCAATCTATGACTCAGGTTTTGGTGTCAATAACATATGTTAATTTTGTTGATTAATGCAATAGCAATTTAAGTTTCATTTTTTGAGGTGAATTATTAATAAACTTTATATATGCAAATTGCTTTATATCTTTTTAGCGGCTTAATTTAATCGGTAATATTTAATTTAAGACTTTTTATTTTTATTAATAGTTTTTATTTTCATTTACTCAAACTGTTCATAATTATTTTTATTTTAGCTTAGTTTTAATAACTATTTTAGCTTACTTTTAATAATTATTTTAGCTTACTTTTCTAACAAATATTGATAGTCATTATAAAATTATAATTACATTTCATATTTTTGCTTCTTACTGAAAATCAAAAACGCTTTTACAATTGACCTATTTTTATTAATAGCTTTTACGACCTGAATATTTAAACGATTATTGATCATACTAAGTTAGATTCAGATAATTATTAAAAGGATTTATGAATACTCATGCAAGGAAAAGGAGAAAGAAATTAAAGTCATTATGGAAAATCTCAATAATTATGGAGAAAAATGAATTTAAATATAAGATTGTTGGGAAAAAATATTGTCAGAAAACTTGAAATTATAAAAAATCACTATTTTTAGATAATTGTTTTAATGGCTGCAAGACAGTTAAAGTGACTAAGAAATGTTTAGATAAGAATTTATAAAATTATCGGTGAAAAAGTATAAAATATACAAAAACATATGAATTTCTGACAAAAAAACTCTATTTTTTTGCAAATATAAAATATTTATAAATTTTATAAAAGATAAAATTACAAAAGTTTAACAATAAAAAAGGTTTTTGGTCAGATATTAAGATTTAAAAATAAAATGAAAACTATAAAATATGAAAATATTTACATATTTCTGACAGAAAAATATGTATAAGTATTTTTTTACACATGTAAAATATATAAAGTTTATAAAATATGAAATTACAGAGGTCGAAAAAAATAAAAGTTTACTTTTGTCAGAAATTAAGATTTAAAAATGAAATGAAAGAGTGTAAAATATAAATATAAATATATATATATCATGAATAGATATTTTGCCTTTTTTTATGTGTCAGTAGATGATCATTATTAGTGAACAGTACTTAATTTTTTTTAAAAATTTTGTATATATATATCTGGCAAAAAATAATTAAAAATGTATATTTATTTTTTTACACATAAAATATATACAAATTTTATAAAATTAAGATTACAGAATTCAAAAAATAAAAAATAAAGTTTTTTTTCGTTATAAATCAGTATTTAAAAACAAAATGTATTCCTTACAAAAGTTTACTTATGAATAATTGTTTTGCAGATGTAAATTTTTTTCAAACGAATTATGATTTCCAAACATTCTTGTTTTTACTGTGGAAGTATGTATCACGTTGTTACCTCAGGACAATTACGAAGGTATAAGGTGCTTGAAGCTTTTCAACCATAATTTAATCTAATATTTCTTTTATAGCTTTCAGTTAATGTTATCCACAGAATGAATTCTGAAAAATTAATAGCTAATTTCAGTAATAAAAGCTTGCTAAGAGCCTAAAATGATTACTCTTTACATTTATGAATATGGCAGTATAATGCGTAAAATACTTAACTAGCATTTTTATTTATTTAAACTTTGTAAAATAAATATTACAAAAGTGCTGAATGACTTTTAAATAAGAGTAATAGTGATTATTCATATTTGAGATAGTTATTCCAAAGTTTGTTTGCTGCCAAAAAACTTTTTTCTTCGCTTTTCCTTGCTTAAGTTTCAACTTTTTCCACCTCTGGTATTCACCAATTAAAAAAATTAATGTAATTTTGGTAATATTCAAATTTGATGATTCCATAGCACTGAACAATTTTCAGCTGTAATAAAAAGCTAAGCATTTTTAAATTTGATTATTTAGCGCTTTGGATTCTAATATTTCGCGCCTATTGCGCCAAAATTGTTTCTAGTATTCTAAGTTTCTTCATTTCAAGTTTCGTTATTTGGCGCCTTCAAGTTTCTTAGTTTCACTATTTTTAAAGCTCAATATTAGCGCTTTTTTTGATGATAATAATCAAAGAATATCAAATAAAAAACTATGCTGAAATATTTATGCAATCAAACTTCATATTTTTAAGGAGTATTTATTAAGCTTTTTTTAAAACTCTAATATTTAGCACATTTTGCATCTTTAATATTTGGCGTATCTTATACAGTCATAATATTAATTTTTGATTTTATGGAAGCTAAAAATTGAAAACAGTTCAAATTTTACAACATTTGGAACTACAATTAACAGTTAATAAGAAAAACAAACAAAATAAATAATATATCGATAATAATAGATCATTTATAATTGAATTATAATTGATAAACGATAGATCAGTTAAAAATGATCTCGTATCTAATCCTTAATCTATCACAGTACCAATTCATTACGTTTCTATTATCCAGGTGCTAACTTTCGATTACACTGAATTTTATGAGTTACTCTACAATTTTCAATTACAAAAATTAACTATTTAATTAATGTTATTTTTGTATTTTAGTTATTTATTTTGTAATTTTGTAATATTTTGTTGCCAAAAATTTAAATTGTAAGTAAATTAATTAAAAATATTAAAATCTGATTACTTACACAAAAGCTTATTATTCTGCTCAGACTTTACAAAGTTTTTAACATGTGATCAAATAAAGTAAACAGCAAGTATTAAATTTCCGATTCAGTTATTTAATTTATACTAATTACAAGTTAATGTTAAGCATGCTTTCTTTAATTTCCCATTATCAGAATAAATTTTAATTATAAACAAATTATTACCTTACGACATATTAATTACTATTAATTACTTGAGATTCTACATAGCTACAATGTGATTCGAAATACTACTTTATAACTTAATTAATTACAGTACTATTTGATTTGATTATTCTACAGGTATAATTACAGTACCATTTGATCTGATAATTCTACAGGTATATATGTATATATATTATGGAGCTATGGATTGAATTTCTGAGGTAAGTATAATCTTATACTACAAGATTAAGAATGAACTTTGTTAAATATATTTTCATATGCAAATTTAATAAAATTGTTGAGGTGATAAGATATGTTATACAAATCAAAATTTTAGCATCATAAAGGATTAGTTTTATGCTAAATCAGTTAATGGAAAGAATGATTGTAATGATAAGATGTCATGTCTGATAAATTTTATTATTACAATTATACAGTGGTTGGTCGTTCAGTTCTATTTTCACGCTATAAATGGAGGTATTTGATGGTGCTGAATTTCATCTGCCACCATTTGGAAATATATTGAATTCAAATTTTCAAATACCTTTTATTTCTTATTTTTTATTCTTTCAAATCATTGGTTACGGTATTCGAAGATATACTTGGACAAGTTACAAAGGCTTCAAGTTTGTTTTACTGTCTTTTTTTGTTTTTAAATTATGATCTTAAAAATTGTACCTGATAAGTGTTATAGTCATTAGTGTAACTGACTTTTAAGGGTTATAACTGACATTTAGTATAAATACTGTAAATGGTTACTGTAATTATGATGAATAATCAGTGTATAATGTTATAATTTATATTTAATATTTAATAAAAAATTACAATCAATATTTAATATATGATTTGTACAAATATAGTGTTAATGTACAATTCATGCCGACTGCTTAGTTTGAAATTAGTAATTTTAAGTAGTTCTAATAAATAATTTAACTTATTATTTAATCATTTATGACTGATCTGTCGCTTAGAGACAGTGACCAGCTCATTATTTAAAGTAATGACCATTTAATTATTTATAGAATAAAACTGTATAATATTTATTGCTTTTCATATTTTCAGGCTAATTTTCGACTTAATATAAATAATATGTATTGTGTAAAACTTGAATAAATGTTTTTATTAATATTTATTTATTTAATCATTAAGTTAATTGTAATAGTCAGGACTTGATGGTCATTATGCTATCCATTATCAATAACTTTTAGATTTTTAAATTGTCATTAAAAAATAATCGGAATGAGTTATGTTTCAAGAAAATTAGGTCTTAGAAGAAATATTTATTATTTAGCACTAAAATTATTACAGTATTTGCCTCTTACTTTTATGTGTTTAGAAACTAAACTAATTAGTTTGATTTTAATATTATATTGCTATTTATTAACAACTATAATATTTGAGTATTGAAATTGAGTAATGAATGAAAATTAAAACTTCGTTATAACTTATTTTTGATTAAGTATTCCTGATTTAGTCAATAATAAAAACTTTTATTACCGTAAGACCATAGTTACCAAAATGATTACCACCAAGTTGAAAAAAAACCAAAAAAAGCATGCGAATTACTGTAAATTCGTCAAATCCTGCTTAAATGTATAACTTTTTTTAATATTTGAGGCAATATCGTCTACGAAACTTAACATTATGTGTGGTGCATTCATGCATCAGTGGTATTTGGTCATTTGTATTTACAGTAACTCATCCAAGAGTCATGTTCCAAGAAACAATACATTGGTACAGTTCATGGGCTGCGCAGTTACCTATTCTGTCTATGGGTTTGTCTTGTTTTTCTTACATCAATAATATTTAACCTTTAACCTTTCACATATTGTCGAGGAAATCTCTATAGTGATTACTCACTCACTTACAGTAATAAGTTACATAAGTGATGATACAAGTCATTCTTTAAAATATACAGATTACTCTAACTCCACTGAA